ACTGGGCCAATAAGCAGCATCATGATAAATGGAGAAAAGATTGAAGTTGTCAAAGACTTCATATTGCTTGGTTCTACAATCAACACCCATGGAAACAGTAGTCAAGACATCAAAAGACATACTGCATTGCGCAAATTTGCAGCAAAAGACTTCTTTCAAGTGCTGAAGAGCAAAGATGTCTCCTTGAAGACTGAGGTGTGCCTACCTCAAGCCATGGTATTTTCAATAGCCTCATATGCGTATGAGAGCTGGACAATGAATAAGGAAGACCTGTTATGGGTTCAATTTAAAATAATAGCCACTATAACGTCCACTTTTGGGTAAAAGAGATGTATTTAGGCTCGCCGACTGCAGGGACCTGAAGCGCGCTCCTATGCTGCAGCAACAAGTCTGATTTTAGGCAGGCTTTAGAAAGCAGGCAAGCGAGATAATACAGCAGCAGAAGCTGCGGTTTCAAGGCCTTAGAGCACGTGCTTCGGCACAGGCACTCATGGGGGGCGGAGTTAGTTCGGATAACCTCCTTTGAGCATGTGCTCTAGCACAGGTGTCCATCGAGGGATGATGGGAGTTAGTTCTGATAATCACCCAAAGTACGTGTTGTAGCACAGGTGTTCATTGAGGGGTGATTTAGTTGCTTTATGTGCTTAGGAGGGAGGAGAAGAAAAAGACAAAAGGGGCCCTCCTTAACTCACTGGGAGGAGCAGCATGAGATGTTTACTTCAGCCACAGAAAATGGAGTTTTAGAAAGATATTGCCAGCCATAGCTGGACACTACAAAAATAGAGTCACAAAATGGGGTCACTTACTTCAACCGAAGAAGAGTTGATACTTTTGAGTTGTGGTGCTGGCAAAGAATGCTGAAAGTACCATGGACTGCTAAAAGAACTAACAGATCTGTCCCAGAAGAAGTACAGCAAGAATGCTCCTTGGAAGCAAGAATGTCCAGACTTTGTCTCACCCTCTTTGGTCATGTTGTCAGAAGGGACCATTCCCTGGAGAAGGATGTCTTGGTAAAGTGGAGGGTCAACTGAAGAGGGGAAGGCCCTCAACGAGATGGGTTGACACAGTGGCTGCACCGATGGCCTCAGGAATAGCAGAGATCATGAGGCTGGGACTGGGCAGTGTTTTGTTCTGTTGTGCATGGGGTCACTATGAGTCGGAGACAACGGTACCTAACAACAACAACAACATCTATGCATGTGCTTGTACATATGGTGTGCACGCACACACACGGCTTCCGATAACCCACTGCCACTGAATCAATCCTGACTCACAGTGACCCCAATGGAGGTTCAGAGGTGGTAAATCTTTACGGAAGTAGATTTCCCGGTCTTCCTTCCTCAGAGTGGCTGGTGGGTTTGAACCGCCAACCTTCTGCTTAGTGGTCAAGTGCCTTAGGCACTGCACCACCACAGCTCCTTACAGCTCCTGATGGGTATTGCCACACGTCTACACCGGAACCTTCTACTTCGTCTTCCTCAGCTTGACAGTTGCTAAATGGAGCCCCATCACATCCCACCTTTCCTTTGTTTATTAGTGTTGATGGGTTTTTTCCTACGTTAAACCCAAAGCAGAAGGAATACAACAAGGAGCAGAAATTTATGAAACTGAAAAGAGGAAAAAATAGTAAAAATGGAATGAAGTGAAAATCTGATTCTTTGAAATGATAAATGACATCATAAACCTCTAGTTAAAATGTTCAAGAAAAACCAAAGAGAGATGACACAAATTAACAATGTGAGGAATGAAAGAAGGGACAGAACATATTACAGATTCTCAGACCTTAAAAGAACAAGAGACTGTTACAATGTTATGCCCATGAGCTCAAAAACTTACATGAAATGAACACATTTCATGAAAAATACAAACGATCCAAGCTCACTCCAGAAGTAATAGATGGCCTGAATAGCCTTGATCTATTGATGAAACGGAATTCATACTGTGAAATTTTCAATCAGCACAATTCATCATATTAACAAACTAATCAAAGGAAAACCACATTGTCGTCTCTGTAGATTAGTTTGTTAATATGATGAATTGCATTGATTGGTTTTGGAATATTGAACCAACGTTGTGTTCCCAAAATGAGGATCAAGTGGTCAAGGTGTATTATTCTTTTGCATATTGTTGATCTACTTTGATAAGATGTACTTGAGGACAGCAGTGGCTCTGTTGGTGAAGGGTGTGTGTCTGTGGTTTCATTCCCCCATCCGGTCTTTCCTGGTTCCGGTGTCAGGGAAACGCAGACCTCACACACGGGCTCAGGAGCAGTCCCGTCTCTCTGAGTCTGTGTGGTGTTACCCTTCCTCCTGGAGCGTTTGGGAGGGTTCACCTGTGCAGCCCTCTGGGCACGGATATTTCTTTGATTGAAAATTTCACACTGGAGTCCGTTTCTGTGGCAGAATCCCCTCCTTCCATGCAGTAGATGGGCTCCAGTTCCTGGCCAGGGCCCCTGTCTGTCAGTGGAGGCCTGCATGTTGCCATGATGCTGAGCTGGCGTCAGGGGGGCGTCCAGTCTAAGATCAAGAAGGAAGGCCCGGAGATTGAATTCTGACAATCAGCGAGTGACAACCCCATGGGTTCTAATGGCCTGACCCACACCGGTCACGGGCTGGCGCATGGGCAGCTGACAACAGGCCCAAGAGGCCCGAGCACCGGCAAGGAGAGGGGCAGGGGCCGGGCACATGGGACCAACCTGCTCTGTTTTCCAAAACACCCGGCACACTTGGCCCCTTCGTTGAGCTCCCCCACGAGTAACTGATGTTCTGATTCCAGAAGAGCCAGTATCAGTGGGGAAGACCCCCCACACACACACACATAGTAGAACTCTTCAGGGTGTGGTCCTGCCAAGGACCAGGATGGCCCTCTCTGAACGTCCCCCCACCTGTGCCCGGGGAGAGCCCACTCTCTCCGCTGGTCACAAAGGCATCAAGGTGAGGTGAGGCTGAGAGAGGACAGAGCAGGCTGGGGGTGGGCGTTCTTGTCGGTGCGCTCACCTTTCCTGCTCATGAAGGCAGAGGGGATACAAGCAGAAAAGACCCGGCCAGAGGAAAAGGTCAGCAACGTAGGAGAGTCAGGGCCGGTCTCTGGGCCACAAAGTACAGCCTGCCAGCCAGTGCGCCATTAGGGTTGGTGTCACCAGTGCGGTAACTCCTAGGGTCACCCCCACACACACCTTGCGGAGGGCACCTGGCGTGCAGGGCCGCCCCGACCCACCCTGCCCAGCACCCAGGCTCCCATCGCCCAGTGGCCAGCCTCGCTGCCCGCCTGCCTGCGCCTTGACAGGAGGATGATGAAGGGATGACCAGTCACCCGCTGGGTGACGGTGACGCCAACCTTAGGGACACCACTGCCTTGGAGCACCGACCCCGCTTCCCTCCTTGCGCCCGCCCTCCTGCCCGGGCCCTGAGCCCCGGCTGTGACCCGAGGCTGCAGGACCCCGATACCCCAGGAATCCCTGGCGGGGGTCCTATATTCAAGTTCGCAGGCAGAGCGGCCTCTTGCCATCGGGCCTCCAAGTACCAGGTGCAGAAGCTGCGGGAGAAGGCGGAGCCTATTCACCCTCTGCTGTGAGACCACGCCCACATCCGCTGGCGGCACCTCGCGAGACGCCCGACCGAACTAGACGGGGTCTGGGGAAGGGTCCGTCCGCCCTCCCCAGCCAAGGGCCAAGCCAGTGCCCGTGAGGCGACTCCCAACATATCCCCCAGCTGACAGGTGGGGAAAGGGCGCCTCAGAGAGGGTTACAATTGTGCGCAAGGCGCACGGGGGCGAGACCCGGAGGTGAGCGCCTGCCCCGCCCCCAGGCAAGGAAGGCCCTGGGTGGCCCCTGGCGCGGGCCCCCTCCCGGCCGCCCCAGCCAGTGCCTGGCCCCCTTTCCCGGGCGCAGGGCCCGGGTCCTGGACTAGGAGGAGGCTCTGCGTTTTACTGGGGCGACCCGTTTCACTTTTGTTTCTCTCCAGAACGGGGACGGCGCTGGGAAGTCCGGGAGGAAGGAGCCCTGGAAGCCCCTCCCTTCCTGGCGCCCCGCTCTCGCCCCTGCCCCGGTGCCCCGCCCCCGGACCGTGCACCCTGCGGCCGCTGCGTGCGGCAGCCTGGGGGCCCCGTGGCGGCCCTGGGGCTGCAGACAGACAGCAGCCAGGACCCCCAGCGCCGGACACGCGAGAGAAAGAGACGGTGTCGCTCACAATGACGGTTCAAAAACAGCCCCTGGGTGGTGACACCAAGGACCGGAGGCGCCTGCGTCCTGGCTGTACTTCTCCCAGGACAGGTCGTTCTTCTGGAAGCCCACGGTGTTTTCGTTATTCTTGGCCAGCACCGCAATCCAAAGGCATCGCCTCTTCGTCTTCCTCGTTCACACGCATATGAGGTGGTGGAAAGGTCTGGGTCAGGCGCCCCCTCGGCCTCCGAGTGAGGGCGCTGCTCCCGAGCGCTTCATGGAGGCCCTTGTCCGCAGGCGTGGCCCCTGCCGCGCTCAGTTGGTTTTCTGCCGCTGCTGCTCGGGCTGCAGGGCGTTCCGGCCACCCCGCTGGGCGGGTGCTGCCCGGGACACCTCCCCACGGAGCAGACCCTCGTCGCCCCATTAGCCGCGCTGTCGCCCGGCCCTGACCCACCTTACAAGTGGGGAGACTGACCCTCGGGGCGATCTGGGGCGTTGCCGGAGTCACACTGCCTTCAGCGCCAGGCGGTCTGAGCAGCCGGGGTCGGGGTGCGGGGCGGGCCCACCTCTCCCGGCCTCGGTTTACCCACCTTTGCAATGGGCAAACTGGCACCGTCTTTCTGAGCGCCCGGCCAGGCTGCGGCTCAGGCAGGGCGGAGCCGATGCGCCCGGGGTGGCCCCAGGGTGGCCACCCTTGGGGCGCAGACTGGGGCGGGACTTGGGGGGCGGGGCCCCGGGTGGGGGCGGAAGCGGGGCGCGGCTGGAGCGCTGCTGGGCCCGCCGGCCGGCAGTCGGGGTCAGTCGCTCTCTCAGCTTAGGGAGCTGCGGTTCCAGCCACACGATGAGTCAGTCCAAGAGGGAGGAGTCCAGCAGCGAGCCCCCGCTCAAGTTCGTGCAGCGCAGAGACGACATAACGGGTGAGTGCCGGCCGGGCGGCTCTCGGATGACAGGGCTGAGTCGGGGTAGGACAGAGAAGGACTGGGAGGGTGTGGGCCCCAGCGCCGCCCCAGCCCAAGTTCCTACACCAGTAAGCCAGTCCCAGGGTCTGACAGCTCCTTTCCACAGCTGTACACTGACCCTGGTGGTTTGTGGAACTTGGGCCTGGGAGGGAGCCTCCCGGAGGTGTGGGGGCTGCGGGGACCCTCGGGAGGGGACGCCGTGCTGCCCTGCCTCTGAGGGACTGAGGACGGGGGTCGCCTTGCTTCCACAGGGCGGGCGGCTCAGGACAGGGAAATCCAGGATCTGAGAGAGGGAGGAGAGGCTGAGGGGACCCCGAAGGTTTAGACCTGAGCTAAGGGGTGATGGAAGTGCCTTGATGCGGAGGGAAGAGGAAGGAAGGGCAGGAAGGGCCTTCTGTGTCACCATCCCTCAGTTTTCACTGTGGGTCACCCTTGGAGGGGGTCACGTGGTCCCTGTCCTCTCCTGGTGAGTCCTGCCCTGGACTGGAGGAGCCCCCCAGGAGCAGTCCGCTCCATGGCCCACCACAGTGACGGGGTGCAGGGGCCCTGTCAGGGGGATGAGGTGGCCCACAGCCCGGGCTGGGACGCCACGCTGGACGGCAGGGCAGAGGGTTCCATTGTCCCTTCGGTTCCCAGTGCCCTTGCAGCGATTAGCCTTGGAGAGCAAAGGAGGGGGTACCCATTGTCATCAGGAAAGTCTGGCCAATGAAATGGGGGGCCAGGCAGGGAGCCCAAAGGCACAGGGACCAACTCTGTGACAGAAGCAGCCCCAGAGAGGCAGCACAGCGTCTCACCCCGTAAAGGAGACATCACTCAGTTGAACAAGGGGCTCTCATTCTGTGGACCTCAGTTTCCTCATCTGTCCAGCGGGGACAAGACTGTGTTTGAGCCAAGGAGAGAGTTGTCAGGGGAGAGGAGAGAGTGAGGACAAAGGGCTGGGGTCTGCCGCACCCTGATCACCCCACTAGACATGCACAGCTTGGGGGGTGGGCATGGCAGCCCTCGACATGCCCCTTGTCCCTGACAGGGGATGAGTATGATGGCCAGCAGCGGGTGGAGATGAGCTGTGGCCACGCCGTGGACCCGGGGAGCCTGACCGCCTGGTGCCGAAGTCTGATGGACCAGGTGAAGCGGGCATCACAGCCACGGCCACAGCTGCGATGGGGGAGGGAAGGGGGGCCCAGCTCCCAGCTCCTTCTACAAAGCGGTTCCAGCTCCAGCAAGCTGGGAGAACGGCACTCCTGGGGCCAGTCCAGGTGCCCTGGCTCTGTCCTCAGGGGAGAGTGTGCTGGGGGGTCCCCGTGAGAACCTGGTCAAGGCCACATGCAGACTTACGCTGCGGCCGCAGAGCACCCCTAGGGGAGGCAGGTGGCTGTGGGAGGGCCTGAGAGGGACTCACTAAGGGGAGACATGGACAGCCACTTGGGGATGGGATAAGAGTGGACGGGACTGGGGGGCAGGACCCCTGTCTGGGCAGGCCAGGGGCTGCGACCTCTTGGCCTCGGCACCACGGACAGGCCACCCCTTGCCCACCTTCCCAGGGCCACTTCCAGCTGTGCTGCCCGGCTGACGTCAATGATAAGAAGTGTGGGGCGCAGTGGTCCTACCCAGAAGTACGCCGCTGTGCCTCACTGAGTGACTCCGAGCAGCGTGAGTTTGAGCAGAAGCTGGCCTTGTTGGCGGCAAAGCTCTACTGCGACTTTAAAGAGGTGGGTGGGGGCTGCCCTGGCCATGGCATAGGTTCCCAGTGTGTAGCTTCCTGCTGCCTCATCCCTTCCTTCCTGTCTCGTCCATGTGATCACTGTGGTGCCCACCGCCCTCTGTCCCTCCCACAGTGCCCAAAGTGTAAAAGCCTAGTGGAGAGGAAGGAGCCAACCACCCTCCGTGTGCTCTGCACGGTCTGCGCCTCCGTGCTGCACGTGTCCTACGAGTTCTGCTGGCAGTGCCTGCGGGCCTGGAAGGGATCGGGGAAACCCTCTGACCACTGTGCCAACACAGGCTGCAAGGACCCAAACTTGGACGTCCTGGCCTCCTGCACCACCAAGGACCTCCCAGACAGTGAGGTCCGCGGCTGCCCTTCGATCCGGGCCTGCCCCACATGTGGGCTGCTCATTGAGCACAAGGAGAAGTGCAAGTACGTCGTGTGCTCGCGGTGCCACGTGGAGTTCTGCTTTGCCTGCCTGGATCCTGCTCCGGCCTGCCAGGCTGCCAAAGCGGGCGCCTGGTTTAAGTGGTGCGCTAAGCCACTGGCGCCACGACAAAGCCACATCCCCGTGTGGAGCCGATGAGACTGACAGATGTCCGACTGACGCCCACGGTGGGGAGCAGATGGGAGAGGGAGAGGGGGAGGCCAGCTGTGGTCACAGGGAGCCACCTGAACCCAGCGATCCTGAGGCCAGCTCCATTCAAAGTATTCTACAATTTCCACAATAGCTTCTTGCTTCTCCTCCTGGGTTCTTTGGAAATGAATTTCTTAATTACCAAGCATTTGAGACATTCAAGTTGTACTTTTGTTGCTGATTCCTGTCAGTTTCACTGTATTAGGCAAATAGGCTCTGATTTCCATCCTTGGAAATGGATGAAGGTTTTGTGTCTGCAGCAGCACCTGGTCACTCTCTGTACATTTTTCTTTGTGCTTGACCCCAGCGTGAACTGTGCAGTTGGTGGAGCGTGCACTCTACATAGGCGTCACGTTTTTACTAGTCTCATTGTTCAAACTGATGTCCTTATTAGATTCTCCTGCCTGTTCTGTGATTGTCTTAGAAAATGATATTAAAACATTTCCCCCTGGTTATGGATTTATCCCATGTTTCTTCTCGTTATTCTACTCTTTTGGCTTTCTGTATTTTGAGCCTTGTTATTTGGTGCATGTGAATTCAATACTACAGCATCTCCCTGGAGGTGAACCTTTTGTAAACGGGAAATGAACAGTTTTCTCTCCAATAAGCCTTCTACCTTCAAGGCCACGGCGCCGGATACAGGTTCCCACCTTCTTGGGTGGTGTGTTGTGGTAGATAGTTTTTATTCCTTTACTGCTGACCATTTTTAACCCTATCTTTAGTGTTCTCTTGTCACAGTCTGTAGTTTGTTGGGTTTTTTTTTTTTTTTTAAACAATCTGTCTTTTTTTAAGTGGATCATTTAGCCCAGTTACATTTAATGTAATTGGATCATTTAGCCCAATTATGTTTAATGTAATTACTACCATTTAGGATTTATAATTGTGCTATCTGTTCTACTGTTTTTTCATTTCCTTTTCTTTTTTTGCCCTCCTTTTGGATTTAGAATGTTCAATCACTACCCTGTTTTTTTCTTCTCTGTCTCTAAAGATGTTTAGCTGTTTTAGGAGTTACCGTCCTAATTACAACATGCCAACAATCAAAGTCTGAAGGTCCTTTCCATGCTTACCCACTCCCGGGTATTCCAAGGACTTTGGACTGACAGGTGGTAGGACTGAAGTGCATGTCAGGGAGTGGGCAGGAGAGGGAGGTGATGAGGTCAGCTCTAGTCACAGGGACAAAGCCACATTCCTATGCTGGGACAGGAAGGACTAGGGCACTCACCCCTGAGGTGATAGATAGGTGAGTGGTGATAGATGAGAGAGAGAGAGAGGTGACAGGTAAACAGATAGAAATTATATCCAGGTGTGTGGAGATTTACTAGGACTGACTTCAAACCCAAATGCAGGTAAATAAACCTGCTCACATCATCACAGAGCTGCAAGTTGGTGCCAAGACCCCCATGAGCTCACCTAGGTACCATCACCTACACAGGGGACAGCAGGGGAGAAGGGGTCCCAGTTCAGTGACACTCTGGGTTCTGACATTGGTCCTGAGCTCATGAGGCTCCATGAGATGGGCCCCCAGGGCCCAGTGGATGCAGGGCTTGGCCTAGGGAAGGGGATGGCCACTTGGGGGTGGAGAGCAGAGCCCAGAGCTGAGAAGTGTGTGTGTGTCTGTCTGTCCTCAAGCTGCATGGTCAGGGCGACTCAAGGTCCAGCATCAGGACCTCCCCCTGCTCAGCCCCCAGCATGCTTGTCCTGCAGCTGCCTCTCTGGGACCTCCAGACCCCCAGCCTCTCGTTGGAATTCACTATATGTCTTTGTAGAGCACATGTGGGCAGAGTCAGATGGTCCTGTCTCAGGAACCTCCTTGGTTCCAGCTCAAAGCCTTACAGTCCAGAAGCTCCTGGAGGAGAGTGGGGGCCAGGCTGCACCCAAGTGGTTCTGGGGCAAAGATGGGGTCTGTCTGCCATGACTTCTCCCCAGAGGTGGGGGAAGCTCTGTGGGCCCCCTGAGAGGACTCAGCCAAAGCAAGTCCCAGTGCTGACCCCATGAGACAACGCCCAGCCCCTCCCCATTCCTGTGTGTGTGCGTCTGAGGACCCCACTGGGAGCTGGGTGATGGACAGGACGGGGGACCCTCAGCCAGGGCCTGGGAGCTGAGCTCTGGGTGGCTCTGAGTTGAGGGGCCCCCATGCTCAGGAACTGAGGCCCAACCTGGACAGGAGACACCTAGACAGCTGTGACAGAACCCTGGCCACAACCTCCCTCTAGTAGTCATGGTGACATCCTTCCACCAGGCTCCCCTCTCTCCCTGAGGTCCTACTTCCTGCCAGCCCAACCCCCACATCCGGAGAGCTCTTCTCAGAAACCGGAGAAAGGGAGAAATGAAACTGAAACTAGGGTATCTGTTCACACGTCATGCGGTCAGCAGGGCCGGGCACCCACTGAAGGCCCAACATAGCCACCTGGAGGGCATGGGTCATGAGTGGGGCGATGCCCCAGTGCCCACGCACCACCACCCCAACTGGCCCCGTCCATCCTGTGTCCTCAGCCCAGGGGTCCAGAGTGCACCCCTCCTGCGACGGCTCGCCCTGTGGGGGTCCAAAAAAAACCCGCCCTGGGCTCTCAGCCTCCCCGGCAACTGGGAGGAGCCTGAGGCAGGTGGGCAGAGGAGGAGAGAGAGCTGAGTTGGGACCCTACCTCAGCCAGCTGTCCCCATCAGCAGGGCTAATCAGGCAGGGGTCCTCAAGGACCTGAGTGTGGGAGGGACTTGTTATAAAGAGATCACCCCTCCCACCCTGACTCCTCCCTCCTGATCCTGCTTGCCACTGTGTGTGACTATGGCTGCATATGTGTGTGTGCATGGTGTGTGCAAATGTGCATGTGTGTGAGAGAGCGTGTATAGATGTGTGTGCCTGGGTGTGCACTGCATGTGGAAGCATGCGTGCATGTGTGTGTGTGGAGCATGTGTACCTTGTGTGCCTGGGTGTGCACTGTGTGTGGGAACATATGTACATGTGTGTGTGGGGGAGTGTGTGTACCTTTGTGTGCCTGAGTGTGCACTATGTGTGAAACCATGTGTACATGTGTGTGTGCTGTGTGTGGGAGTGTGTGCATACATGTGCCTGTGTGTGCGCTGTGTGTGGGAGCATGTATGTGTGTTTTTGTGTGCACCATAGAAGCGTGTGTGCATGTGTCTGAGGATGCACACATGTGTTTCTAAGTGTGTATGGTGTGTGCATATGGGAGTGTGTGCATGTGTGCATTATGTTCTGTGTGTATAGGTGTGTAAGTGTGTGGCATGGGTGTGGGGGAGCATGTATATATGTGTCTCTCTGTGTGTGCATGTACATGTGACTATTGTGTATATGCATGTGTATACATGACTGTGTATATGTGTATGTGTGTGCAAATGTGCACACAAGCATGTGCATCCTCAGGAGTCTGGGGAGGAAGTGGAAGGTGCTCTTGGTCACACCGAGAGCACAGCCTGTGACCAGTCCTGTGTTTGGAGATGATGCCTGGAGCCAGGGTCACAGGTGCACGGGGTTGCTGTACGGGGTTGTTCATGTCATCATGAAGGACATTATGGGGTGACTCTGGGGGACCCTGAGGGAGACCAGGACACCCAGAAGGCTGGCATGTGTCCTGTAGCTCCCACCCGTGGGTGAGGACACCTGGCGGGTGTAACTCCTGCCCCTCTGGGGCTGCTGAGGGTGGGGGCGACCAGGCTCCTGTGCGAGTCTGAGCTCACGAGGAACATCCACTGTCTATGAGGCCGTGGTCAGAGTCGGGACGGCCCAGACACGGAGACCCCGAGAGGCTGCAGGGAAGGCGCAGCTCTGGGTCCTGCCGAGGCTCCGAGCTCAGGAGCTTCCTGCCAAGATGGCCTCCTGGGAGCACACTGGGGGGCAGGGCACCGAGGAGGGGGCCTCCCCAGCCCCCACCCCAGCCCCTGGCTCCATCTCCAAAAGGAGGAGGCCAGCAAACACTGTGCCCCTGCCACCTGCCTCACCGTGGCACACACACGGCTTCACAGCCAGAGAAGGGCAGGCACGGGCAGCCAGGGCAGAGGGGCTCCACCCAGACCTGGCAGCCCCCCACCCACACAGGGACACCCAGAACACAGGGACAGACACAAAGACACACACACACAGGGAGACACACACACACACACACACACACACACACACACACACGAGGACAGACACGGGACACACACAGTGTGCTCACAGCGCCTCAGCACACACCCTCCTGAAATGCCCTGGGCTGCGCTCTGGGGGAGGGGCAGCCCAGGGAGGAGCTGAGAGGAGAAATCGAAAGGAAACAGACTGGGGGCCTCAGCCCCACCCTGCTGGCTGCTCTTGGGCCCAGCCCCAGGTCAGCAGCAGCCAGCCCTGCCCCAGAGCAGCTCGGCTCAGGTCGGTCGTCTGTCCCTCGGTGGTCCGTCCACTGGTCCAGGGGAAGATGCTCTTCCAGGTGGGGGTGCACGGCCCCCAAGGCCGGGACACGCTGGTGGACGTGGCCATCTCTGAGGACACCTTCAAGCAGACCACCGTGGCCCAGCTGAAGATGCTGGTATCCAAGAAAGTGCTTCAGGGCGGTGAGCAGCAAAGGGTCCCCAGAGGAGGGCTTCTGGTCCCTGGGCTCCCCACAAGGGCCAAGGAGGACGGGCCGGCCCCGGGCCCGCACCCAGGACCTTAGTTGGACTTGGAGCCCCTAGAGGGCGGAGGATCTTCCCCCTGGGGCCCCTCCACCTGGGTCTGGGGCCTGCAGCGGGCGGCACTCCCTGGCGCAGGAGGCCCCTTCCTGAATCTTTGGGGCAGAGGTTAGCGGAGCCCAGCCCTCCCTGGCATCCCTGCCTGGGCTGGAGGCCTCACCTGGGGGACCTGGGGACAGGGCTGGTCCCAGCTTTCTCCCTCTGTGCTTTCCTTCTGCCCCCCAGAGTCAGCCAGGTCGGGGGTGACCATATGCAGTGAGGGATGGGGGGTGGGTGAGATGCCCTGA